ACCCCAGAACTCAAGGGCAAAGGTTGATCTTTTATTTCGATTCTCTAGCCACAAAATCTCAGCCCTGCGATCGACGCCAGGCGGCTCTTCGTGTCCTCAGTGAAACGCTAAAACGATGGTAGACATCCGCGTCATTTTAACCACGACACAACGACCGTTGAAATCGGATTGGTAACCTCTTCGTGTTGGCAAACCAAGACTCGCGGGGGTACTAGACCTCAACTTGTCAACAAAACTTGTGTATGAAAACGAAATCGAAGCGCCTTTGACACCTTCGCACCTAATGCTTGGAAGGAGATTGCTTTCGAATGGTACAGTTAAAGAAAGTGCTGCGGTACAGACACTATGATGTTGACATCACCAAGAGAGTGAAGCACCTCAGTCGCTTTTGGACCAGCACAGCCTTTCTTTCTAATTTGTAAATTCCACGTGAACATCATCGAGCGAAGAATTACCAAATGAAATCCAGTCAAAATAATCGCCAATGTTTGCCAACGAGTGGAGAAGAGATTACACGAGTAACTTGTAGAAATACACCATTCATTAAGACAAAACACGCAATTGAGATAAAGTGCTCACTACTTTTTATCTCGCTTTTCAGCAAACAAATAGTGAATTTGACAGATAAAAATTTTATTCGTACTTGATGGCAGAAAACTGAGAGTAATATTTGTCTTGGAATCAATCGATAAGGAATTCTTAAATTTCTTCAAATTTAACGCGATTGATTTTTCTCTTTTTCTCCTTCACTTTAGCTGTTGTTTCCCCCACGCCCACTCCATCAGTTGGTAAGTTGCTCGGAATCATTCTCCAATAAACAAGGGGTGTTATAAAATTAATGTAATTTCATATGTTGAGAACTTCGAGCGGTCGAAGAAACAGCTGTTTTCAAATCGCTCTTTATAGTCAAGAAAGCGCTAAATGAAGATCAAGTCAATGAAAAGGTTACACCCTATCATTAATGCTTTTGTCAACACTATTAAAAAAGAAAGATTTGCAAAACTTAATGTATTATTCGATGTATTCCCAAAATAGTAGCTTAACCTCCCACTTAACAGACAAGTGTGGGTATAAAGGGTTATTTTGTTTTCAATTCAACTGTGATCATATTTCTTTACGGAAACGAAGAACCCGCAAGAGTTTGCTTCCCCCCTTAGATGTTGCTGTGTTGCTTAGTAGAAAGTAGCGCCCACGAGTTCCACTCCCGTTGAATCCTAATTTTTTGTGAGGCTTCTTTCCTGCAATCTTCTCAATTATAGCTCCGTCCCCTCATTTTTTCATTCCTTGAAAAAGTTTATCAGAACAATTCCATTCGCTTTATTTCTGATAATTCCACCAGCAAGCAACATGTATCCCTACGGACCGCAGCAAAAAGATAATGAATTCGGTCTGGACGATTCTCCTTATTACTACTCCGACCACTGCCTGAAGATCAAGACAGACTGGATTGGAATTCCTTTTTTCTCGGAGAGGCATTACAAGTTATATGTGAGTAAAAACTTTAATTCTTATGACAGATGAGCTTCAAAAAGAGGATAACCTCATCTTATGTATGAAAAGCGCATAGAAATCCTTAGGTTGCCTGTGCAATACCACTCGGAATAACGCGTATGTAAGATTACCCATTCTGTAGTGAGCTGATTTTTAGAGAAATTCATTACCTGATTAGGGAATTTTGCGTTAAATATCACATGAAAAGCGATGTCGCACGAATCACGAAGTGTTACAATTTGACAATAGTTATTGTGCATACTTAGATACGAAGCGATATCACTTAGCCTCGGTTTTTAACTCGCAATTACGCACGAAATACCTCGCTTCGTTAACCAATCAGAACACGAAATTTTATTCCATTTTGGGATTCTGTTCCAAAGATAGCATGGAGAGGGTTTGATAGAAAATTAACTTTCCGTGGAGGGATGATGTGCCCTCGCTTCAGTAGAGAAATAAAGGGGAAAAGGGAACAACTTTTAAACTTTTCTTAATTTTTCTCTCTAGAATTACCTTTGTTGTTCCACAAATGCATAGGAGTCCCAGGGCGATTGAAAAACAATTGTTTATTTTAGTGGAAATACTTTCATTCTCTTTTTTATGATCAATCTGCCTTATAGCCAACGCTTACACAACACTAGTCCAAAATGCTTCACCAGGGCGTTACTCATCCAGAAACTACACATATACATACTGTTTAAATAGCCTTTAAAACTTTTTCAGATTTGTCGAAATGGTATAATCCAGTTGAATTATGAGTGGAGCTGGTGGTGGCCTCGGAAATTTGGTATCTACTGGTGGTCCAGAAACATGGGTATTATTGCACCCTTCTGGGCCACAACCGACTCTTATTTTGCCTTCAGATACGGCAATTCAAAGGTCTATTATCAAGTGTACAGCCAAACCAAAGAAACGTCAAATGAAATTCTGGATATAGCTTCAAAGCATGTGCAGAGCTACAACAAAGGATTTGGCGAATTTAAGGCCACTTGGGTCCTTGTTGTGACCTGGGAAAAGCTCTGTCCATACGTGTATTATCCATACTACTATTACTACAGAGACATCAACGAGCAGAATTTTCAGTTGAATTGTCCCCGAGTAAGTAATATCATTATCGTTACTGTTGCATTGAATGTAGTAAATGTAGTTACCATATATCAACTGTAGGTCAGAGTGACTCACTTTTTGGTGAAATGATCTCGTCAAGTTTCAAAGAAGCAGGTTTCATGCACGAATGGAACCTCCTTTACTTCTCGGCTGTGTAATTGATCAAAACCTGAGTGAACACATGTTACACATATGAAAGATTTTGTAAACCTTATCAACTACAGCGAGGCCATTTTACTACTGATGTGTAATGTAAACCATCTGAGGAGGTAATTCCGTCAAGTTACGTATGAAAATCTGAATTATCCTTTATTTTAATTTTTTGGATTGTTTTCCAGAGTAACACCTTCCAAGCTGTCTTGATAACCGATGGGTTTAACGCATTTTTGATGTATAACTACCCCCCTAAAGGAATACAGTGGCTGGTTGACACAGAGCCGTAAGTACTCTTCACTTTAATGAGTGTCGAAAACACTGGGAACTCAGTCTGCACTTGTTTTCCACTTTTGATTAATTTTTAATCTTTTTAGAGAATTCTTATGAATTATGGACTTATAGCATTATTACCTATTTTCAAGTTTGTTAATCGTCCACTATCTCTATTTGCAGTTAGATCGGGTTTTGAAAGTGCCGCAATGTGATACTTTACTTCACTTTAATTGGAGACCGAGCACTTTCCTTCGAGTCAAAAGAAACATTAACAATATCATTGGGTATTTTTAACAAAAGATAGGCACTTGGGAGGACCACAAACTTAGATTAACACGAAGAAGGTCCAGACTCTAAAATATCTCATTTATCATTTCTTTCTTTCAGTAAGCGTTTTCTTTTTTTTCATTATTATTAATATGATTTCAGGGAGTACTACCGATACTGGACCAACTACTATGGTCTTCCTGTAGCCGGCTGGAATGCAGGGAACAATGGCGAACATTATATTATTTTCACTTTTAACTATCTCCATAGATATCTTGTAGAAAATCCCATGCAAATCCTTATAAATCGATATGCAAATTGTGTTCCTTGTGTGGTTCCTAAAGAGAGCTTGGGCCGTCTGTTGTCACAGATGAAATTGTGAATTATACTTTATCTTAATTTTTTGGATTGTTTCCCAGAGTAACACCTTCCAAGCTGTCTTAATAACGAATGGATTTAACGCTTTTTTGATGTATAACTACCCCTCTAAAGGGATACAGTGGCTAGTTGACGAAGATCCGTAAGTACTCTTTAACTTAACTGAGAGGCAAAGTCAGAATCTATGTTAAACTCGAAATGACTCGGAGCAAAGTCTGCACTTGTTTTCCACTTTTGATTCATGTTTACACTTTCGTGAGAATTCTCATGATTTATGGACTTACATGTTGTATACCACGAAAACCTAATTTCAAGTTTGTTAATGATCCATGACCTTTATTAACAATTAGACCGGTTTTATAGGTGCTGAAATCACTTTTATTTGAGACCAAGCTCCTTCCTTTGAATCAATGGAAACGTTAAATTATTGCCTTTCCTTCTTATTTTTTTTCTCGGAAGATAGGCACTTGCGAGTACCACAAACTTAGATCAACGCAAAGAAAGCCCAGACTCTGAAATATCTCATTTATCATTTGTTTGTTTGGAAGCAGTTTTGTTTACTATGATTGCAGGGATAACTACCGTTACTGGACCTACTTCTATGGTCTTCCTGTTGCCGGCTGGAATGCAGGGGACGACGGCGAACATTTTGAGAACTTGAAAGGGTAAGAGTGATCTAATAAAAATTAAGTTGTGTAAAATGATCGAACGAGGCTAAGATGCGATTTCTTTAGATATTCGGCTATGAATTACTATGATGAAATATTAAAGAAGAAACTTACATACGTTTATAAGATCATTTTTTGGACTTGATAATTACGATAGTTAAACTTCGAAAGGTCGTTGTATCGTTTGGCAAAAGGAAAGTACAGAGTCTCCATAAAAGCCATGGGTAAAGGAAATTGTTAATTAATTAATTGTTGACTATAATTTTTTTTTCGACAATGAGGCTGTAAGGCATGACCTCCTGTGAGACAGCGGGACTCCGGCAAAAGCTGAGAAATTTTATCCAAGTAACACGCATACTCCGTTATATAAAACGTCTCAGGGTAAAAAATAACCACAGAAATAACAAGTTTATCAGATGATCTGGAGAATATTTTAGGCACCTACTGTTGCCAAGATTTCTTAATCTTCAAATTTTATGTGTAGCGTTAAATACATGCGTAACTCATAATAAGAGAAACGTTGTTGGGTTTATCTGTATTTAATTTCAGCTCTGGTACATTTGGATTGACTGAAATCGATAAGAAGGCAGGAAACACGGGTGTGGTGGGAAGGCACTTTTGGAGAATTGAAAACAGCGACGGAGAAGGTGCACAGGAGAAATGCTTACGTTGGGACATGCAAAATAGAGCCTGGAAAGTTCTCGACCGGTATGAGGAACTTATCCAATCAGACTCGGAAATGGCCTGCCCCTGTACTGGGTGGCAGGCATTTTTCGATAGGGGACGATTTAGGTGGAATTGGAGGAACTCATGGCCTGAATTATGTTTTGAGTCCAGACGTTCCAAGCGCTTTGAATTCAACACCACAGATGGACCATTAGAATTTGAATTGATACAACAGTGTTGTTACTCTACACAGTGGGAAGACTGGTTATCCCTTAAGTTCGGACCACCTGACGGAGGACGCGTAAAACTCACATTCCCAGATGACTCGAATAATCGCACAAAAAGCTTCTACACAGATGAGCAGGCTTATAAATATTGCTGCGTCGACTCACTCAACTGTGATTTGTTTTATGAATTACGTCCGTCCGATAGCTGCTCAAACTACGTACCTCAAGTTAGA